TTTCCCCCTTTCCATTCTAAAGTAGTCTCATTAGGAAATTGAAACTTAACCACCCGGGTTCTACAATCAATGGACACAAAATAAGCATGCAACCAATCCATCCCCAAGATGACATCAAAGTCCAACATATCTAATTCTACTAAATCAACCACTCCTATAAATTCTTTTAGCTACAACCGAGTCACCCACCGGGGTAGAAACCGAAAAGGGTTCTTCTAAGACATCGGGGAGTACATCAAATTTCATAGCCACAAAAGGAGTAACAAAAGACAAAGTGGCACCGAGGTCTAATAATGCATAAACATCAATGGAAAAGACTTGCAACATACCCGTTACCACGTCCGGGGAACTCTCTTGCTCACCTCGGGATTCGAGAGCATATAAGTGATTCTTCTTGGGAGCATCGGGATTTGAACCACTTGGAGAAGCTTGATTACCCTCTCTCCCCTTGGCCGTATGGGTTGGACAATCTTTCAATTGATGCCCACTTTTTCCACATCCATAGCACACACCCATACTGGCAAGACATTTTCCCTCATGCTTTTTACCGCACTTGGCACATGTAGGTCTCTCCATGGAAGATCCAACCCGATTGCGTCCTTGAGGCTTAGGGTTAGACACCCTATCTTTGTTGGTATTTGGAGCATTGGAGAAGCTTTGGTTGGAAAAACTCTTCTTGAACCTTAGTCCACTTTGACCCTCAAACTTACCCTTAGAAGAATGTCCATCATCGGTCCTTGCCCTCTTTACCACTCTATTCTTCTTCCTAAGCCTTGTCTCCTCAACTTGTTGAGCATATACCATTAACCGTGAGATATCTATGTTGTCATGGAGCATCGCTGCATGGCATTCTTCTTCAATGGAATCGGACACGCCCATTACAAATCAACTCATCTCATCCCTTGGATTAGACACCAAAGATGGGGAATATTTGGACAACTTAGTGAATTTCAAAGAGTATTCTTGGACACTCATACCTCCTTGACGAAGGTTGATAAATTCCTCCACTTTTGCTTCCCTCTTTTCCCATGGAAAGAACCTATCAAAGAATGCCTTCTTGAACACTTCCCAACTAATGGGACCCACTCTTATAGCCCTATTATCCTTCCATTTAGTGTACCATACTTGGGCGACATCCTTCAATTGATACCCAGCTAGTTCGGCTTTCTCAATAGAAGTAACCCCCATAATATCCACTATCTTGTAGACCTCTTCCACAAACTCTTGTGGGTCTTCATTCACTTTGGAACCAAAGAACATAGGAGGGTTCGTTCTAGTAAAGTCTCTCAACCTTGAGGCCATGTTGCTCACATTAGGATTTACCTGGGGCCCAACATCTTGATTGGCTTGGGCCGTTAAAGCTTGGGCTTGCATGGTCACGACTTGAGTTTGAGTCATCATGAGTTGAGTCAATGTTTGGAGAGCCGCCCTTATCTCCACATTAGTCATAGCCTCTTCATCATTAGGAACTTGAGGGTCTTGAGGAGCTTGGGGAGGAACTCCCTAATTCACATTCTCCTCTTCCGCCCTCCTTGCATTTGACCTTCTTATATACATTGCCTATAATCACAAGAGAAGGGTTAGGAAAAAGGACTTCATTGAGTTAGGACTCTAAAGCACGACGAAAGAGTAGTGAAAGAAGTGAAAGTTCCTAAACATCTTATAACCTCTCATTCATAAGTGTGGCGCGCTTCACATTCATGAACAAGACTCTACTAGACGTGGTTCATGAGACATCAACCTAAATATCATCCCAAAACCTTATGCTCTGATACCAAGTTTGTCACGACCCAAGGTAACTCCCTAGACGTAACACGGCGTACTTGACCCCGAAGGGGTCGCATACAAGCCCTTAGCATAATCATACACATAAATCCATAAGAATGATACGTAAAAATTTAAAACTTTTACAATCAAAGTCAAACTTCTTTTTCATAAACGACAATAAGAATCTAGACTTGTCTCAATCACCATCTAAAACATAGGAATACAATCTTAGGGACATAGCCCTTTGCATAAATAGTCTTGAATATAGAAAGTACAATAGAAACTAGAAACAATAACATCTTGTCCTCGAACATGATGCTCATCAAGCCTAGGGAATAGTCAACCCAAGGTACTCTTGAAAGAAGAAGTACGCCTCAACGATCTGAACCTACACTCATAGTAAATGTAGAAGAAATGGGTTAGTACATAAAGTACTAAATATGGAAGCATGCACAAAATCCTTGAAATATGATAAAAATGACATTTTAGTTGAAAAGTATGCATTTGCCAAGTTTAGAAATCAACATGCACTTTCAATGTACCACACAAGCCATAATCACATTTATGCTCATAACATAGTAAAGCCATTACCTTAGCAACCCCTAAAGAACACTTGTGCAATGTATGGTTGGCATCCCATAATACCAACCATACTATGTACTTCTTTGAAGCTACCTTAGTCATACATATCATCTTTAGACCTCATCATAATCAATAGTCATAAAAAAGGAAATACTCACGTACATTATTTGAACATAAGGAAAGTCATTCATAGCAACTAACCATTCAACATACATGCATTTATTCATGTCTCATCATAACATAAAGAAACCATCCCATAACATCCTACTAAGTCTACTTGTGCATTGTAAAAAGTGAAGTCTCATACTCCCACTCCTACTAAGTAAAACTCATCAAGAAGTCATAGTATAGTTCTTGTCTTATTCATTATCTTATCATATAGGGAAGAATAGCCATAACCGACATAGACTATGTGAGCGACATGGAATTCGGTGACATGTAACCCCACACCGAAAGAAGGTGTCTTACTTGCTTAAGGTAGAACTAAATGTATTAGCTTTTAGGTGGATCCACTAGCTAAAGACCTATGTTGGCACATAGTCAGGGGATAGGGAGATTGCTTCTAGAAACCCGACCTATTGTATTGGCTGAGGAGCTTCCATCTCATGAGAATAATCTTGATGACCCGGTCTATTGTATTGACAGGAGGGCCTCTACCTCATTGACCATATCCTCTCGGTGCTAAGCATTATTTTCAAAATTATACATAATTAGTCTTGAATTGCATTTACATGTGTGAAGGAATACTTTGCCCTTCATTCAACACAACTCATAAAATAGCTCATAGATTCAATAAAGTGAGAATGTACTTTCAACCTTAGAATCAACATCAACATGTGAGTAAGCCTTTCACATTATTGTTCATAGTGTTTCATGAGAATAGCCTTTTAATCAACACAACAACATCATCATCATCCTAGACAATTCATACATAATCAAGTGTAAGGGTAAGAGAAGAATGGCCTTTCAACAATACTTCAATTTACACAATAGTCATAGAATCTTCACTTTCTAAGTGAATCATAAGTTCATACACAACTTTCATCAACATGTACAAACCCTAGCAACTTACCCCTTCAAGGGTCAAGAATCATGTTCCTCAATTACACCTAAAAATACTATACTAGGCATGAATAGAAAAAGATTTAATAACTAAAACATCATAGATACAATTCATACTATTCATCTTGCATCAATACACCCATCACAATTCATGAAATTAGGGTCATGGGGTAAATCATGGGTTCATGGGGAGTTTTACTATTAAAATCACCATTAAACATCAAATCATCCATATTTTAAGACAATTAACATAAGAAAAACATTTTTAGGAAGAACCCATGGCTAGAGTGAAAATCCTTGTTTTTGAACAATTTACCAATTTCGAAATTAAGAGTTGAAGGGCTTTATGGAAGGAACCTTTCCATAAATCAAGACTCACATACCTTGATTGAAACTTTTCCCACGAATTGGAGTTGAGAAGATGGATTCTTGAGCCCTATTCTTCAAGTTATTGAGCTTCTTCAATGGAGGAACTCTAGAGAGAGAAATATTGGAGAGGAGGGGAAGATGAACTTTTTATTTTGAAGTGGGTGTTTGTGAAAGTGATTTATTATGGGAGTATTTTAATATAAAATACCTTATATAGTTATTTAGAAATAATATAAAATATACCCACTTCTTAATTTAACTTAAAAATAATATTTATGAAAACGCCCCTTGCCCACATGAATTTGCCAAATAAAACTAAGGCAAAGTCCAAGGGAGCTTTTAAGGTCCTTGAAGTGGTCCACTAGCCTTGGACCCTCCCCTGGACTTGTGCCTTTAGCTTTTTAAAGCTAAGGCATGTCCATGAGGGTGTTTAATAACTTCAAGTACCTTATAAATTATTAATTAAAAGTAATATAGAATATACCCATTTAATTTGGACTAAAAATGAAAATTACGAAACTACCCTTAATGCCCCCCACGTGGATAATCCTAAAAAACTAAGGCAAGTACCAAGGGAGCTTTTAAGGTCCTTGGAGTGGTCTGCCAGCCATGGACCCTCCCTTGGACTTGTGCCTTAAGCTTTTTAAAGCTAAGGCATGTCCACAAGGGTGTACACGGGCAGTAGACCCTCTCTTGCACACGTGCACTGCCTAGGCGCGCTAAGGCATCCCCCACACGAGGTGTTACAAGTGCAGTGGGGTCCTCCACTGTCCTTGGACCCTCACGTGGACTGACCTCATGCCAAAATTGGCTAAGGCAAAGTCCACGAGGGACTTGTACGGGCAGTGGAGGCCTTTCACGGGTCTTGAAGGCTCACACGAACTTGCCTCCTTGCCTATACGTCTAAGGCATTGGTTCAAGGAGGCTTCTAAGGGTGGTGAAGGCTTTCACCTTCCTTGAAGCCTCCCTTGAACGATGCATTTTGCCCACACGGCTAAGGCAAAGTTCAAGAGTGCTTCTAAGGGTAGTGAAGCCTTTCGCCTTTCTTGAACCCTCCCTTAAACTTTTACTTAGTCAAATTTTAGGACTATTTCATAAGTCTAATTTATGCATAAACTTTTAAGATTCATATGTTAGGCTCTAGTTTCACCAATCAATTTTTCGGGTGTTACAGAGAGAGTGTTTTTTATATTCAAATTTCTTAATTTCTTTTATATTAACTAAATATAGAGAGAGTGTTTAAGATTTATTGGAGTACGTATTTTCACTAGTCCTGACTTATTTTTGCTTGAAGTATCCTCTGGCACAGGGCCTGGTAGGGGTATATCTGGATCTGGCACAGGGTTTGGTAGGGGTACATCTGGATCTGTTATGTTGTCATTATATTTCAAAGAAGAAGTAAAATTCCAAGAATATATGGTATGTATTGCAGTGAAGTTTCCTGTTGCACCTGAGAAGCCAAAAGTGACCCATTCTGGCAAGTATTCCCTCAGATCAAGATTGTAAGATAGGTTCTGCAGGACGGTGACTGTAGTATTCCCTTGTTTTTGGAAACCAGTGAAGACAACACTAAGATTTTTTGAGATTGAATTATAACTAATCCAGGCATCAGTTTTTGTACCATTGGGAATGCTACTAAACCAGGTCACATGATCAACAGATTGCATGGAGTTGATATCGACACCTACATGATCACCCGGTGGATCATAAGAGTTGGTATAGATGTCAAATTCCACAGCAACAAAATGGTGATTTCTCCATGAATATTGTCGATTATCACTTGCAAGGCCAAGTCCCTCTCCTGCGGCAAAGTGTTTATCAGGAATTACTGAACCTGCAGGGGCGAGGAAAAAGGTAAGACCATCAGCATATAAGTTTCTGCCGTCTGAATTGATTCCAAAGGAGAAGTGCGTTGAGAAATCTGTGACATTTCCAGAGGTGTTGTCATAAAGATAGAGTGTTTTAGAATATGTAGCTCGGCCTATACTGAAGTTTAAACCATTTTTGGTGAGCTGAATTACACCGTTTTCTGAATAAGCATCTGCTTCATATGTTAAATTCTGATCATTGCGATTGAAACTATCAAAATTGAAGGACAATGAAGTGACAAAAGGGATTATCAAAACAAGGTATGATAAAGATGGAAAACCAGCCATAGTTGCTACACTAGTCAAAATAATAAAGTAATATTTTTATATTTTCAAGTGGCAAACAAGTCCTTGTATTTTCGAGGAATCCACAAGTATACTTTATTTCCTTTTCTTCTCACACGCTAATTGACCCAACTAATCCGTTTACTCCATTTATTATTTTTAGAAATATAGTATTATGGAAAGGGCTAAATAATTGACCCACCTAGGCCGTTTACTCCGTCAAAAAAAAATTGATTGATCATCTCACCCCCTATTTCAATAATATTTTTGTAGGAAACTTAAATATATATTTTAATAAATGAATGAAGTTACTAAGATTCTTTTGGTTATATACTATATATATATATATATATATATATATATATATATATATAATAA